TCCTCAAATTCCTCGAGTCAGAGAGCGTCGAAATCGACTACGTTAAGGCATGTGTCAACAAGGATCCCACTGGTCAATGTTTTGCGTCCGTCATGGAGAAGTTTGCGCTCTACCTCTCGGCTTACGAGAAAGAACCGGGCATTGCGCTGTCCAAAAACTCGTGTAGTCAAATTCCAGATCCGGATCTTAATCATGATTGGTCGGAGTGTAAATTATCCGTACAGGTTGGTTGCGTGTCCATTATCTGTGTATGACCTTTTCGCGGTCGGACCTTTCATGATATGGCGCGAGAAGTTTTTCGCTTCAACGAATGTACAGCGTGCCACGCTTGCTGAGAGCGCTCGCCCTGGATCCGTGGAGCTCCAAGCCAGCGTACAGCCATCGCGACCGACTCGACGTTACCGTGTTGTACGGACTAGAGTCCCACTCCGTTGTCCAGCGGTTAGTCGTCATTTCGGCAAGGTTGCGGCGCTCGGCTGATGCATACAGACACTCAGTCTCTTGCAAATCCAAGCTGATCAGCAACAGGATCTAGTCAGGTAATCAAAGGATCAGGTATCGATCGCTTGGTACCCTGGGGCGGCCATCGACGTACATGCCACTTGCTGGTGTATTCGGGGAATCGTGGTGCGTCAGACTTGCGACCTGGAATCATCGGTACAAGTGCTCCCCCCACTACCCCCCCCCCGACGAATCATGTGCAGGTCGATAGCCTCCAGTCAACTCCTCTTGTCGAAGGCGCACTTTACCATGGACGAGTCCAAGGATTGGCGCCCCCCCCTCCAACAATGAGACCTTTCAAGGATTTCCGCTGGATTCCAAAGGGGGTCTTGGAACGTAGCTTGGTTCGGAAAGTGATTCGAACCTGCTGCAGGCGGGCAAGCTCCAGAATGCGTGATCGTTGTGTCTGTATCTGGAACGCCCAGAGGTCTTACGGCACCTGTACGAAACCCACGGAGGGTGCCATTCACAAATACGGACCTGGATAAGGTCACCCACTGCCGAGTACAGGTCACACCCAAAGACATACGTCCATTAGTTGGAATTCGTTTGCAAGAGTCGTGCCGGCACGAAGGATGCGAGTCAAATTCTTGTTGACAGTGAGACTCTCTGGGAGGCTGCGAGCCCCCCCCCCGACAAGGTACCTTGGTGTTTGCTGGTCGAGATGAATACACGGGTTGGCAGCGACTTAATGGAAGTCGTGGCCTCGCGTGACAAGCGCCTTTGCTTACTTGCCAGTTGTGATTTCAACGTTCAGTCAGCCCTTTCAACCCACCTCGCCATTCACACATCTAGCAGCTCACTTGTCCTTTGTCCCGTTTGACTTCAGCACGAGTGGACATGGTAGTGACAGTGCAATCGGTCCGAATTGGTGGCCCCACTTGTGGCTGTCGTGGTCAGCGTGTGTGCTGATGTTGGACGGGATCGGTCGTGGGGGTGTTGCCGACGAAACAAGCGTGAGGTACGTTGGAGCAACGTACCCTGCGCCATCTTGCCCTGGTCACCGACGCTAGCCAACTCGACGCATCAAAAACCCACGCAGTGCTTCCATCGCGATGTGTAGTTGAACCCGGGAACTGCGACTCAGCGTCCGAGTCAAAATCGGACTAATTCTGCATTTCATTCGGCCACCAAAATCCCATGCGCACGACGTCGAGGCGAATGGCTGGGCATTCAACGTTCGCGCACCGAGACAAACGTCATGCAGCAAAATTGCACCAAATGTCCCCCACAGCTAGCGAAAGCCACCCCTGTCGAGGCAGCTGTGGCCATGTCTTTACAAGGCCACTACGACCCCAGTACATGCATCTACCCTTTCAGCTTGACAACCCCTCCCCTGCAAAATTGCACCATACGACTTGGCTGGTAACGCAAACAAAGAGCTCGTCGGGGACTTCGCCACACCATTCGACCGCTTTGGACGACCCCGAGACGACGCCGCGCGGCCCGAATGAGAGGAAAACCCACGTCATGTTGGTGTTCACTTAAATAAAACTACTATCTGCGGCCGAGGATCACCGTGTTGGTTGGACTACTTCCCCTGGCCTCGTCACTGCCGCTACAGCTCGATCGGGTGTCGTGAGCTGGCGAATCGGCCGCACAGCCAACCGTAGCTCCATCATCGTGTTTGATAAAAACGTCCCCACCGAGCTCGATGACGCTCGAACGTCGGTACGGGCTGGTAAATACCCACGGATCTGGGTCGAAGCCATCGCCTCCGTCGGTCGGTTTGTCGTTCGTTGACGGACACAGCGACGACCAGTGCATGTCCGAGTATGGCCAACTGCTTTTGCTCATACTCTGGGTGCGGCTCGTGCTGCGCGGGTGGTTGTAGCTGTGCATGTCAAACTCGTCAAGTTTGCAGTTGGCCAGCGCTGGATTGTACGCCTTCGCGTGCTGTCGACGGTGCACGATGGTTAAATTCACGTCCAGGTCTTGCTTAGCCGCGCGGCGTCGGCGGTACATCCAGGCGAATCCTGTCAAGCACACGAGGAACGAGCCTGCAACGGTCAAGACCAGCACGAGCGTCGGCATGGGCAAAATCGTCGACGACGACGAGATTGGAGCAACCCGGTCAGGCGGCTGTGGCACGGCCGCCGTGACCAGCAATGTTGTTGGAAATGTCGTCGCGACTGCCGTGGATACATTGGTCGTGTTGGGGGTGGTCGTAGGTCGTGGAGAAGTGGTGGGTTGAATGGTCGGAGGACACACTGCCGCGGCGGAGCAGTTGCCGGGACTGCACATGAGGATGTCAAGGGCGGTGCGTCGCACACACGGAGGGCAGATCTCGATGGAGCGATTGCATAGCGACGACGTGGTGCTCGAGACGCACACTTCTCGACACCACGCGGCGACGGCGCCGTCAGTCATGCCAGTTGGGAGTGGCAAGGTCCTTGCCGCGGTGCATGCCGTGTGTGACTTACAATGTCTATTTAGGGTATTTCGTCAGGTTGCCGCGACCTAAACTCCATGCGCCGTGGTTTGGTCACGCCACGGCGCTTCGCCACCACCTCACCCTCCCTCACAACCGACCCGCTTGTGGCACACAGCATTCACATCAAACGTATGCTGAAGCGGTGTGGAATATCGATGGCCCGGGACCGCAAGGCCATCGCTGGACTGCGGGTGAGACAGGAAAAATACCCTAAATAGTTGTGCCAACATCTCGACTGGTGGCAGGATGGCGGGGCTGTCGCGGAGAGCGGGGGCAACCCGATGGCCTGCGGATGCGGCTCCTTTGAAGGGGAGGCTTCGAGCATTCATGCAAGGTGTTAGCTGGACAGCGCCGTGGCCGACTGCCGCCGTGTGTGTTGCATGAGAGACGCGAGCGCGACATGTGAGTATATCAGGTCACCGCTGAACTGATCGCGGCGACGGGGCTATGAAATGTACATAGAGCCTGGTCTGTGAAAAATTGTTCCTGCTTTTGGCCATTCCTGCTTTGTACGGATAAATGTTATTCGGATCGTGCCCAATAACCTGGTCTGGCAAGCCATTCCTGCTTTTGGTGTTCCTGCTTTGAATGGTGGCAAGTGCCATGGATGGTTTGAAAGGGGTTGTTGCCGCAGTTGCCGCGGTTGTGTGTGCTGTATGCATTTCTTTAGCTACCAGCTCAAACTCCTCTTCGAAGTACAACATTCTGACTATTACGAATGTAAACTTTGATGACATGCTTGGGGACCCTCGATATGAGCAATGGTTTCGGGACAACCTTCGTTGTGACCAACGAGCTTTCTGTAAGATAGTTGTGTGGCTTCGCCGTCGAATGCCAAAGTACTCCCGACGTCGTTCTGTGCACTCGTTTGAAAAGAAAGTTGCAGTCTTTCTATATTTTTTAGGTTCGGAGGGAGGATACCGTGAAACTGCTGGTGCATTTGGTATGGCTAAGTCGTGGTGTGTTACTGTTGTTTCGACTTTCGTCAATGTTGTCTCCTCCAATGCGAACAAATGGATTCATTTTCCTACGGACTCGCGTGCATGGCATCGTATCGAACGTAGTTTCTATAAAATGCAAAGAATTCCTGGAGTTGTAGGAGCTGTTGACGGTACATTGATTGACATACAGCGTCCATTGGACTATGATGGATTTTACAATCGGAATGGTGATCCCTCATTGAATGTGCAAGCGATTGTTGATTCGCGAATGGTATTTATGTCGGTTGATATTCGCCCTGGTTCATTCTCCGACAAAAAGATTTGGAAAGTTTCTGTAGTTGGTCAGACTATTCGACGACTTTTGCCTACGGGTTGTTTTCTACTCGGTGATTCTGGATACACGTTGCTTCCTTGGTTGTTAACTCCATTTTTGCCGCATGAGGAAGGTGGAATGTTGACAAATGTTCAAAACCATTTCAATTTTAGATTGTCAAGTACTCGCATGATTGTCGAATGTGCTTTTGGTCGTTTGAAAGAACGTTTTCGAATTTTGAAAACAGTCATGAATGAAAAGTCACTCGAACAAACTGTTGCGGTCACTACAACTTGCTTTGTGTTGCATAATATGTTGATTCATTTCAATGATGGACTCTTTTCTGAACCATGCCCACGGCGTGACAGGAATTTGTATTTTCAACCTGCTGATCCAAGTGAAACTGAAACAAATCCTCTCATTCGCAAGACAGCAGTGTTGAAGCGTCGTGGAATAGCTAGTATTTGAATTAATTGAAAAATACTGTGCGATCACCTTTTCATTAATTGCAGTTTACTTGCGAGAAACCAAATGAGCCAGGAGTTGTGCCATAGTGTCCGATTGGCCCTGAATTGCACGCAATACATCGTCCAGAGTTGCGCCCGAAGCAGGCGGGGGCGGAGGAGTCGGAGTCGCAGTAGACAGCGACGTTCCTAAGTGAATAAGTCCCTCCTTTATCGCGAGAAAACCGGCTTCCAACGCCTCGCCTTGACTAGTGGCTTTTGTTGTTTTCGCGCGCTTTTTACGACGCTCTTGTGGCTTGTCGATGTCGGAGTCATCGTCCGAACCATTCTCTCGCTTTAACTGGGTTTCTAAATCATAACAAAACATTGACCTGAATATTAAATATTTGTCTATATTTGCGATATATATTTCTACCGTCCGAAGAGTTGGCACCATCGACAATGATTGCGTCGGTCGACATGAGAGATTCACGTTGGAATCCTTTTTTCGCCCCCCAAAACTCCAACATAATGTCGTAATGGGGGGGCAAGGGGGCCAAGGGGCCATTACCAGTATCACTGGGGTTCGAGGGCTTCGTCATGGCCCAAATTGTTTTCAATTTCGAGAACTACAATCACATAAATCAATGTATAATAAAGAAAATCGTGTGTACCTTGTCCTGGACCTGCGCCACGGTGTACTCGCTTTCCATAGCGACGCTGAGCTCCGCCGCCAACATCACGTACGCCGTCTTCTTGT